AATAACTAAAATATATAATATTATTAATACAAATTATACATACAAACTATAAATTAATATAAAATTTAAGTAAATATCAATCAATTATTATAATATATTTATTTCTTAAATATTTAAGTCCGTGCATGAGCACGGGAAAATCACCTAGTAGTATAGTATAAGCTAAAAAGTAAAAACCGTGTATAACAACAGTTTGGTGATGTATTTGTGTTTAGACTTTAGTGGACAATAGATGTAAGTTGAAAGTCTTCAGTCGTATATGATTATTTCTTTCTGCCAAGTATTGGATACTTTATTGTAGACTTTAGGAACATAGGATCAATTTAGAAACAAAGCATTATACGGACTCAAAAGAAGTATTATAGTTGAATATTTATACAAATATTATCTCCAAACGTGAAAAAAACATATCAGCATGGTATCTAGAGTTATGAATTTATGTGGGATGATTACCAGTGTGGAACAAGAGTGGAGTGCCCACTACCGAAAAGCATTGCAATTTGCTCTAAGAACAACAAATCCAAAATTGTTCGACAAATAAAAGGGGAAAAGCTTTACGATTTCTTATTTCTAAAATATAAAATTTAGTGAATTATTATAGTATGAAAATACCTTTAATATATACTGTTGTAGTGGATAATGACAATTATAAGTATGAACTATGAGTGGTGCTGGTTTGGATGAGCTGGATGACAACCATGAATAAGTCCATAACACTTCTCCCAAGTCAAATGTCCTTATAACACTTCTCCCAAGTCAAATGTCCTTGGATCCCTCCCCGTTACACAGACCCCGTGAGAATCTATAATTATATATCAATACTATTAAAAGAGAAGGAGTCCTAAAAAAATCTACCTATGAAAATTGTTTGGACCCTTTCGTTTAATAGTATACCACATTAATAAATACCTTTTATAAATAGCAAGCACTTATTGTTTCCATGAAATTAATATACATTTAATAGTGTAATAACACATCAATAAATACTGTTTCACATACATTCGATAGTAGATATCAAATAAATACATATCATATACGATAGTAATGATTTCTATTCCCAGCCAAGGTCTATAACTTTTGGTTTTGACTTTTCATCTTCTCAAAACTATTTAACTAATTTTATACCAAACTATAACTTTAGCTAAAAGTAAACAAAAGAAATAAATAACTATTATTAAAAATAATTTTTAATCTAAATAAAAGAAAATAGATAAATGTAAAACAGATTAACACTAATAAAAATAAAAAAAATATTGAATTCTAACAATATATTTTAGTTTTGAATCACCATTTTTTCTAAATTTTCTTTAATGATATAGTAAAGTTTTCTTAAAAGTCATGAATCAAATAGTTTATTAAACTTTATCTATATTATTAAAAGAAAATCATTGTAAAAATCAACCGTGGAAATGTTGTTGGACCTACGTATAACTATTTATTGTTATTTATTTTACCATTAATAATTATAACCATACAAAATTGTAAATATATTAAATGAATCCTATCACTGTTCCTTATTTCATGCGATACAGTTTGTTCGCTAAATTATGTTATCACTTAATATTATGTAGGTCTATATTAGGTTTGGGTCAGTTCTTTTGGATTCATTTTAATCGAGTCTATAACTAAAGTATCTGTATTTTTTTTTCATAATAGGTTTGCATCAGTTAAGTATTTAGACCAGAAAAAAAACTCAAAATATCCGAAAACCTGAAAAATTAAAATACAAAAATCCAAAAATATTTAAATATCCAAAAATCCACAATTTTACACGAGGAACAAAAAATATCCAAATTTTCATTTGAATACTCAAAATATAATCTTAAGATTTTAAAATTTTACTGAAGCCGAAATTATAACAAAACTTTTAAATCTATAAATTACAAAAATCTATAATACCAAAACATAGATCTGAAAGGTCCAAATATACACAAAAAGTTTCAGGTCTTTGAGTATTGGGACTCGATAGAGACTTGCGGGTCAAAAAACAAAACCTAATATGTAGTTTGCTCGATTTCGAACACGTATTTTCGTATTGGTTTCGTTTCAGTTTTTTTTTTGGATTCGAGTAAATGTATATGTCTAAGAGAGACTTACATAAGAATGTACATATAAAATCTCAAATAAAATAATTCATAAATTATGTAATTTATAAAGTTTATTTTTTCAATATAATACAGCTTTATAACCTAATAATAATATACAAAATCCCAAAATACTAATTCATAGTAAACTATGTTTATAACTCAACAAAACCCGCGCTTTCGAAGCGCGGGTCAAAATCTAGTTATGATTAAAAAAATTCTATCACACACTAATAACAAAACTGATCAGTGGAAGTTCATGTTCTGCCAATTCTTATTATCCTTCTTCTTCTTTGTTCAAATACACAGCCTTTCATGTCGTGTGATTTAGGTTTGTTTTTTACAGAAATCTATAGTTAATGTTGGTCACTGGAATAATAGTCTTCACTGATTCTTCTAGTTAGTAATGCCGTATTGGCCAGGCTAGTTTTTAGGGTTTTTGTTTGAAATTAGCTTCCATTTTGCTCGAAAGTCTCATAAAACATAAACTAATGGAACATATGTATAGGTCAATTTATCTCAACAGCAATGACTAGTTCTTCTTTGATTTATACTTTCCAACGCACTCTTCGACTTTATTTCTTACAAAAGCCTAGTAGCTCCTTTTTACTAAAATGTTGGTTGAACCCAATCTATAATTTAATATTTTCAATATGACTAAAACACTGATAATTGGTTGTTGAGCGAGTGGGTCCACGTAGAAGAAGTGAACCAATGATATGGCGACAACCTTCGAGATATGAGGAGATCCAACGATCACGGTCTAACTGGCGTCATTCTTGGCGCGTTTTTTGGTCCCCAACGTCTTCTTTTGATTATGAGACCCGTTACATTTTTATTCACTAACACACTTTGTTTTGCTGGCTCTGGAGAGATGTCCGGGCTCAGATATGAAATATTCTTAAATTAGATCTAGTATTATGGTACAACACCCCAACATTGTCTATGGTTAATTAACATTAGTATGTATATATTTTGCTTTTTATTATCTTAATATATTTTGAAATTCTGCTGTTTGTTTCCACTAGTAAAATTAGTCCCTTTATTGTATGTGAACGTAACTAGGGGTGGGCACGGATCGGATATCCGGGGTTTTTAAGGTATTTGTGATTTGCTTCGAATGTTACGGATATCTAATTTTGGTATTTGATTTGCTTCAAAAAATACAGATATCCGAAAAAACGGATATCCGAAAAATAAATAGATATTTGCGGATATTTACGAATATTTACGGATATCTCATCCATTTTGATTATTACAAATAATTTTAAGATTTTGATACAAATTTGCTTTGCAAAATTATTTTTTGCATGATATATAAAATAAATATTAAAAGAACTAGTGAATTTACATATTTTGTAATTTTTTAAGTTTAAGTTACAATTATAATAACACGAAATTTAAGAAAAAAAATATTATTGTCATAATTTTTTTTTTCTCTTTTATGTAATGCTTTTATATAAGTAATAATGTGAATAGATTTGTTCAAAATCATGTGCTAGAATAATAATTATATAATTTTATACATTTAAAATTTTAAATATAATCAAGATATAAATATATTTATATATTTCCGAATCGGATCGGATATCCGCTTCCCAATATTTTAATATTTGTGATTTGCTTCGATTTTAACGGATATTGAATTTTAATATTTGCTTTGCTTCGAATGTTTACGGATATCCGGATTTTTCGGATCGAATCGAAACGAATAACGAATCGAATCAAATATAACGGATAAAATGCCCAGCCCTAAACGTAACCAATATATCGATGACCAAATCAATTCCTGTGTTTTTTCTAATATATTCTGTTTGTCTTTTCACATTTCTTATACTAGAATGTAATTGTATTACTCTGATTAAAACTTTTGGGTTAGTTCTACATTTAAGTGAAGGAAACAAAATCAAGTGATTTAGCGACTACAACCTTGGTTTGTTTTGATAATTTGCATCATTCGAGAGAGTTAGAAAGATAATTTAAACAAAATCGTTTGGCTTGTTATGTTGTTGTCTCCAAGGCTGGTCTTTAACTTACAAGATTAAAAAAGATGATGTAAAGTATACGATACTATGAAGACCGGCACATTTATTACATATAGTAAGTTAGAATAACCAATCAACTGGGGACAGGAACCAAACATCAACAATTATAACAACGCGTTTTTGACATTACTTCCTTCTTAATTTATCAAAAGCGATGTGTATATGTTTAACTACACCATACCTTCTTCACGCGTTTTCTGCAACTTCTTTATACTGTAACAAAAGAACGGGCGGCCTCTTTATTTTACTAAATCAATATGTTTTCATAAAAGTACTAAACATTCGTTTATCATGATTTATACAGTAAAATATTATATATGTAAATCGTGGCTTTATACTTTTAGCATTTCATTGATCCTTCTGACTTTTGTTATGGGAAGATATATGAGAAATTTAAATAAAATATATTTTATGAACATTAGATTACAAAAGATAAAGAATATAAGACTATAGTTATTCACTTACTTTATTTTTTTACGTCGTCAAAGGTTTAAAGAAATTCTTTCTAACTTCATAGCTGTCCAAAGTAATAGTAATGTTACGTTCAATGTATTGTACAATGTTTCTTAGATAGTATTTTTGGGGTGTAATTGTATATATATGTAACCTTAAACTGAACGGGGTGACATAAGTTTGAATCGAATTATAAACAATACAAATCTAATCTAACAGTCGCTTTGTTTGATTCCCAAATCGTCCCATTTCGGTTTACCAATAACGTCTCTGTTGATAAAAAATAGCTCCTTCAACGGTCATATATAAGAAAAAATAAAGGCCCACAAATATATATTTAATTGTCTGAAAGATGCATTATTTAAAAAAAATAAAGGATCCATGAAACGTCATACTATCACCCAACCATAGACATGTGGTTAAAGATGCATTATTTAATTATAGTATATGTAACATTTTCTTTATCCCCTCTATAAAACAACAGTTTCCAAGTTTTTCTTTATCTCCAAAGCTCTTTGTTTCTCAGATCTTCTCTCTGTTTTCATCAGATCTTGGAGAAGGCAAGAGTTTGGTTGTAAAGTTATGGTGAGAATATTTATCCTCTACAATCTATTAAACTCTTTTCTACTCTCTTTAGTACCAAAGAAACTGCGAAGTCTCTTCCCTCTCTCTTGGTTCGACAAAACTCTCCACAAGAACTCACCACCGTTACCGTCCATGTTACCCTCTCCTTCACCGTCACAGTCACCGTCCTCGGCGTCAACAAGAGAGATAGACCCGTCAGAGCTAAAACGGGTCTTTCAGACGTTCGACAAGAACGGAGACGGTCGAATCACTAAACAAGAGCTCAACGACTCACTAGAGAATCTAGGAATCTACATACCAGACAAAGACCTAACTCAGATGATCCATAACATAGACACGAACCACGATGGATGTTTAGACATAGAGGAGTTCGAGTCTCTATACAGATCCATTGTTGATGAGCATCACAACGATGGAGAAACCGAAGAAGAGGACATGAAAGAAGCGTTTAACGTGTTTGACCAAAACGGAGATGGGTTTATCACTGTGGAGGAGTTGAAATCTGTGATGGGTTCCTTGGGACTCAAGCAAGGTAAAACCCTAGAAGGTTGCAAGAAGATGATTATGCAAGTGGATGGTGATGGTGATGGTAGAGTTAATTACAAAGAGTTTCTTCAGATGATGAAAGGTGGTGGGTTTAGCAGTAGCAGTTGATCTTTGTTTAGGATTTAACAGAAAAGAGTGTGTGTGTGCTTATTTGATTGATTTTGTTTGTTTTCTTTTTATGTGTAAATAATTTTTATGATGATGTATGAAAACATTGTAATCTGGACGAATGTGTGTTATCTTTTTTTTTTCTTTCTAGGGTGATGTAAGATTCAGTTTCTCATTTTATCTGGTTTAGTGTTATTTAGTATATTGTCCAATTCAATAATAGTAGCTTTTAAATAAAAATTTAAAATTCATGTTTGAATAACTGTAGATTTACCATTTTAACACAAATCACCTCATACTTTAAGTTGAATATATCATTATTTGTGATTCTCATTTGAAAACTTGCAACAAAATCACAAATTTGAGTTTGAACTTCGATCCAATTAGAGTTTATCTAATAGGAAAAAAAAAGTTGATTCGAGTCTCATTTGAAACTTGAAACAAAATCACAAGTGTGAGTTTGAACTTTGATCCACTCAGTCTATCTAATAGTAAAAAAAATGTTATTTTTCTCTATACTTAAAGTAATTTTTCTGTTTTCTGATGTTATTACAGAAATGCTATTCTTTAAAAATACAGTTTAGTAAATTCCATTTCTAGAATACAAATCTTCTATTTAAGAGCGTACAAATATGTAAATTCCATTCAGTCAAAGTCTTGACATTAATTAGTACTAGGATAAAACCTGCGCAAGTAAATATATGTAATTAAAATATAAAATTTTAGCACTGACAAATTTTTAAAATTTACATATGATTTTTTTATATGTATTTGAAATTTTAGAATTTTAGAATTTTTATATAATTATCTATACGTACGATAAGAAACAATTGTAATTAGAACTGTAGATCAAATCTTAAAATTAATGGACCTGATTTCATATATCTTTTCACTTTTCAGTGTTCGAGTGTTGGAAAATAAACAGAGTGTCATTGGGCTTGATTGGTAGAGTATTAGCAAGTTTCCTAATGTTTTTTTTAAGAAGCAGTTGGTAAAATATTTGCATTTAAAATATATAATGTTTCAAAACTAATTTAATATAATTTATATTTGTCTAATAATATTAGAAAAATATATTTTTTACAAATTATTTTTTTAAAATTTTTTTTACAAAAACAATTAAGTTAAATTTTAGATAATTTTTTTTAAAAAATATTTTAAGTTTTTCAAATATAAATAAACAATTTAAAATTAATTATGGTCATGATTTAACATAACCATAATGATTTAAAAAATTAATTTTTTTTAAAAAATTAACAAATTAAAAATTAACTCAGATTTATATCATGATTTAAAAATTTACAAATTAATTATGGTTATGAGAAGTTTACGTTTACGTGTCAATATTTATCTTTAATTTTTTCTCTTGTTGTGTTTTTTATATTTTGACTATTACTCGATATAAATATTTATTTTGAAGTTTATTCTCATTTCGTTTGTTTTTTTTACCTGGGATTTAGAAAATACTTAAGATTTAAAATAATTAAAAAGATACATACTTAGGTTAAGATCTGCACTTTATGCACAATAAATATTTTAATATTTATATTAATTATTTATTTTATATTTTTCTGCATATCATAAAATAATAAAATAATATATATATATATATTAAATAACTAAGAAATCAGTTACTATTATGTAATAAATTGACGTATGCATATTAATTTAACTATCACTCTTGTTTACTCACAATTAGGGTAAATAAATCAAAATATTCAATCTTATATATTGTATATGATATAGAATTAAATTTAAATGATATAAACATAGTAAAATAGCACATTTTTAATATGGATATTTATTAAATGAGGTTTTTACTCATATTATTTTATGATTATTTGCATATTTGTGTAACAAAATTTTACACCGACGATTTTTAATATGAGAGTTTTAGTAGTTTGAATAATTTATAATCATTTAAAAAAACAATGACATATTTAAAAATTAAAATATTAACTTTTCAATATATGTTCAAAGCAAATATCAAAATATAAGTATGTACTTTCATACGATGTAGAGTTTAATTAAAATGATATGAAATATATATAAACTAATTTTTTTTTCATATGGTGTTATAATCATTATATTTTAATATATAAAAAAATTAAAACCTTGATCCTAAAAGTTTATGTGAGACTTTTAACAGTTTTAGTAATTTATATTCATTTTGAAAAATTCGAAATACAACATACACAAAAAAAAATCTAGATTTTTATTATATGATTAATGTAATTATGTATTTTAATAATAAATAAATAAAAAAATGAGAAAAAGTATACAAATTGTTATCAAATCTTTATTGTTTAAAATCATTAATTCTCATATATATATATATATATATATATATATTTTAATCACATTTGGCAATTCTGTAGGTTTTATTTAAGGAAAGCATGCGAAACAATAAATATTTGATATATGTGACCAACTTTAGCCTACGAAATATTATAATGCTAGAGTATAATTTTTAGACTATACATTATATCACATGCTCTAGAATCCTTGAGATTTGAAATAGAAGCCAAAAAGCTATGCCACATATGATTGAGGTTATTTTTAATTCTTACAAACTTAAGGTTACAATTTTTTAAATGATTTTCAAATAATATATAGGGGATATATGTTGATGTATATGTAACTGAGGAATATTTATTTGTTCGGGGAGCTTGATTATTTTATAATGTATTCCTATTAGATTTCTGCTTATAATCCTCGTAAAATGGTAATCAAATATATTGGGATCTAAAAACATATATTTGGGTGATCCCCAAAACTTTTATCAACGTTGATTAATGGAATCCATAAGATAGGTTAATTGTGGATGAGATAAGCATACTAGTGACTTGGGGGAGCCCTTTATTATTCATACCTACCGGTAATTTTTTTTTTAAAGTTATTTTCCATCCTTTGGATTCGACGTTCAAATTACAAGGAAGCGGATGCTTTTGTAGGAGTTCATACCGGTTTATAACGATTTATAAAACAACCTATGAATTCTATTTTCCTAGAATCTCATGTTAATACTGAAATAAATCTAGATCTTTGGGGTTTCGAATATACCTGGTTATTCGCAGCGGAAAGATGAATAGACCAAGTCGAGATTTCGAGCACTCCAAACGTTGTGCCTCTACCGGTATCCACACGCACACAAACTAGATCGATACGGGATGCTAGTGCCGTCAGATCAGATCTCTAGAACTTGACAAACCTTTTGTCTCTATTATATTAGGGTTTGCCGTCGTTAGTTGGATTGGTTAATTATCAAGAGTCATTGTCTTTATATAAGACAAACCAAAACTCTTACCAACTTAGACCACGTAACTTAATTCACTAATTAAGTCAATGGGCTGAGCCCATGTGCTAATCACCAAATAAACGTTTTATTTGATTAAGCTGTTAATGTGAATATATGTATATACTTATATCACATATATAAATATATATTATACTACATTAAAACCCCAATACTTGATTGATCTAATTTGTTTAGGTGTGTGACCCTGTAGGATCATATAAAATTAGTAATGAATTCATAATTCATAGATTATAAGCGGTTTCTAGCAAAACATTATAACCACCTAATTTTATACGATTGTCGAACCTCGACGTTACGACTTCAACTAGAATAAGTACAAATGATTTTAGGACATTCCCAACAATCTCCCACTTGTACTAGAATCATCTATTCTCATAATCCCTTTGTCTCTATATCTCGATCTCAGTATAAGGCAAGAGCTAGTGTCATCCTTATTAAGCTAGATCACATTTATCGAACTCTGATTTATACTGATCAAACAAACGACTGACATTCACCTCGTTTGAGCACGGCCATGCATTTTTCAGTATCAAATCTTCGATAGGCCTTGAGATATTTATCTCCCGTTATATGGGAGGGACAAATCCCATCTTGTTCCATCCCTGCNCTGATTTATACTGATCAAACAAACGACTGACATTCACCTCGTTTGAGCACGGCCATGCATTTTTCAGTATCAAATCTTCGATAGGCCTTGAGATATTTATCTCCCGTTATATGGGAGGGACAAATCCCATCTTGTTCCATCCCTGCTCCTTACAAACTTCATAGAACACCTAATCAATGCCTTTATAATCACCAGTTACAGCTGACGTTTGACAAGGTCAAAGTGAACTAATCCACAAGTAAATAATCATGACGAACTCAGGTCTAAGGACTATACTCTATAGTCGTAATGAGAAACTCTTATGACACTCATATAACAATCTTGCAGAGTTCTCATTAGCGGGTCAGCCCGATCATGTGTTCTCTAACACATATCCATGTGATTGACTTCAATACAACATATTGAATGACTCCATGAAACTTAGTCATCAATCACCTCACATACTA